AGTGCTAGAATCATTTATTTTAGAAATCCTGTTTTAATTATTACAGACTAATATTTTGTAAAGTCAAATATCATGTACTTATGTTAGAGTTGATTTATCGGAATGCGTAAGTTTTTTGTACTTATAACTTTTAATAAATATAAAAGAAATTTTAACAGGAATGCATGAAAAAAGTTATTATAATTGGAAATAAAGTTACACTTATTAATATTAAAAATATATATTATATACATATATTAAAATTTTTTGCATAAATTAAATATGCGGAAAAGTTATAGTTAAAATTTTTTTTCAAAATTGAATAAAATTAAACGAAATCTCGACAAAAGTTAAGCAATGTCATAATTTAAAAACATTTTTTAGAAATTTGTTTTTTTTTCTATTCTGAAATAGTCGTTCAAACTCAAGGAATTTAACATATTTGATTTTATTTGAATACTTGAATCGTTAATGTCATTTATACGTGTGAATACATATGCATTATTCGTTGCGTCCCTTTATAAATAAATGCGTTATACTTGCACTCAGATTAGGTAAATGTAAATGGAGACTCTAATCTGAGAACAAGACGGCCCTTTTAATGCAGCTTCTCGATACGCCGCCACGTGCCTTTGAGTAGCCTTCGTTCGGTCGTGTACGGATGTGATTTCGGTCGAAAATTAATTTCATTTACATCGTAACGCAAAGTACAATCTCGTGTTTTCCTTCTAAAGATAGAAGTACATTTCTCTTCTCTTTATGTAATGACGTCAAAGGTCACGGATGGAAATAGAAATTTCTTGATAGTCGGCAGACAAAGACAATCGTGAATCCATTTTTCTCAGTTGATTTTAAGAACCTGTTCGAGAAGATGAATGTGTCATAAAAAAACTGAAGTGCTGTAGTTTTAGTTGAAAAGAGATCTCATAACGTCCAATTTATAGATATTTTATATTAATCATAATTAAAGATCCGTCATGCCGAATGATTAATTTTAATTGCGGCGCAATGTTGAAATATATTTTGTGATGTTGAGCAATTTAGCAGTAATTACTATACCACAAATCGTGTGTGCATTATACGTGTAAATCATATTGTAACTCGAATAGTTCGCATAACACATTACTAGGAACATAAAAGGTATAAGAAGATTATACGTGAAATGTGTTAAAGCAGTGCTTTAAAAAATGAGTTAGGTTCAGATTATGATCTTTTACGACGTATAATAAATTCTTGCCGCGTACTAAATTTACCGGGTAATGTATGTAGCAACGTCGCGTCAGTTTTATTTTGAGCAGATTTTTAAGATATTGCGTTCTTACAAATTTTTTAATCGGATTTAAGTCGAATCTTGGATGATTTGTTATTGTAAATATATTATGCCTGACACGTTACATCACGGCGACTTATCTTCGCGACACGGTTCGCTTATTCAGAAGAAAATACAGGACAGAAATAGGAGAGAAATTTGTAATCTCGATTTTATACTGTTTTAGCCGCATTATCGTGTGATGAGGGTGCACACTAGTTTATGGTTTCGATTCTAAGGGGCAGACCACGTCGAACTTTGGTCAAGCTCGAGTGAAACCAAGTTAATTACTGTAATTAATGTGGTCCGACGGCGTTAATTCGCGCGCGGCACGCGAGCCAATCAAGAGGTCAGATAAGAATTAAATGGCATCGAGCCGACGCCTCGTTAGCCATCCCATGTCAGACATAAATTTCACGCTAAGCTTGGTTCACATTCGACCGAGTTCGCGACGATAGGAGAGAATCTCGTGTTCACGATCGCCCCGCTACAAGTCAGCTACGTGCTATTTTACGCTATTACATGTGCAGCTAATATTAAACACAAGGTTGGATTAGATTTATCGTCTGTCTTAATTGTAATAATATTATATAATTACTTGTACTAACAAATTTAGTGCTTCAAATTACAAGGAATTCGATACACGCTTCAGTATAAAAGCTTCATAAGCTTTTGCAAATTTCCATAATCTACGCGAACTCGTATGTGTACAGTAAGCGCATGCACCGTTAAATGTAAATCATATTAGCGGTTAGGTATATTAATTACCATGAATTTGATCGGTGATTAATCCGTTCGATCATTTTACGCCTGATAACTATAATTTTCTCGCTGTCGGAACCACGAGAGAATCGTTGATTGCAATGCAGGTGGTCGGTTAGATCGATAATTACGATTTTCTTAAGTAATAGTTAATGATATCTTAGTACTGAAATCCAGTTCTTGATGATATAGCGGTTACATTGGGCAAACTCTGATAATATAAAGAATTTATCTACTTCAAACTTTAATAGTACGTTTTTATACCTATTATAAATTTGATCATTAATTATAATCAGTATTTGCGTGGTATTTTTCTTTTTAACGTTTTTAACTACCTCTGGGTTTTACTTACGTTTCTTTTCAAACGTTACCTAATTTTTCAAATCCAATTTTTATCTAAATAAGATAAACCGAAATTTTCAAAAGAATAATATTTTGGGAAGTTTTACTGTAAATTACAGTAATTTATATATTTGAACATTCAAAAATCTTTGATCTTAAATTTCTTATAAGAAGTTAATTCCAACAAACGTTGCAAAAGTAAAACTAAAACTTTGCACGATACTCTAAAATCATAACCACACATACTCAAAGTTACAATAAAAAAAAAAAAAGATAAAGTCATAATAAACGATTTGATATTATTAATGCGATAATATTACAACATGATTTCTAATCATCTTCTCTCTATATCGTTTAATTAAGCCGCCTAATAATACCCTGAAAAACTTTTGTAAGCATAAGGCCCATAACGAAATACATCCGCATACTTCTTTGTACTAATTCCAATCTGTACGAGTTCATTTTCTAGAGCCCTGAGACGCCGACCGTTTACCTTTAATTATAGGGCGGCTCAAGCCTCTAAATTTATCGCTAATAACGTTGCAGCGGACGTTAAGCTTCATCGTCGACGGATCTTTACGGGTATGCGTCGCGCATACGTCACGTGCCGACGCTAAACGAATGCGCGGCGCCGTGAATATACTCGTTCGCAGACGTGTGCGAAGAGGCGAATATAGGTATACATCGGCTGATTACTCCGGTGTATATTCCTTTCGTGTGAGACTTTAATGGAACATGCGGAAAGAGAGAAAGAGAGTTGCGCACCATAAAATACATATATCATCGCGCACTCGTCATCACGCTGAAATCCCTTTGTGTGAATCACGACGGCGAAAGGCACCTAATATCTTAAATATGAGCAGCGTGACTCTTGACATTCGGCAATAACAATCACGAATGATGAGAATGAGGAAATAGCGCTAGGTGTATTTCGTGCAAATATGAATAGCTGTTAAGATTAAAATTATGGATTGTTGCGAATTTCAATGTGGATTTGAAAAAATATAATTCTACAAAATAAAAGCTCTGTAAGAGCATAATTATTATTAAGAACATTTTTTATATAATAGAATCATAAAATAAAAAAAGAAGGTTTGCTTTGCTTCTTTTACGATTACTATGCCGGATTTTAGATTTTCAATTGGCACCATATATTAGATTTACATGTTTTATATCTCTTTGAGTTATCGGCGAAACGTTGTCCGATATCGTTATAACCAAAACGAGATTGAATTCGTTATACGCTACGTAAGCACTCATGACTAATGCTTCCGCGGCGGACAGCCGATTGTTTCAACAAAAATATATTATGCACCGGCGACGGCGACGGCGGAGACCGTCGTAAAATATGAATCTCTCCGGTTGGGAAATTTCGCAGGAATGAGCGCTACGTGCGGGCTGGAAAAGGGCGGTCGTTGGGACGCGCAAACGCGCGGTGGCTTGTTATAAAAGTTCCTCCTTGCAGCGTAATACCAGAAAGTGGATATCCGTTTTCGGGCGGAACTCCGGCCACAATTAAATTGCTTCTTCTTGCGCACTCTTTTGTTTCGGCGACAACCGACTACCCGGATTTACTTTGCTGTTCCTCGCCGTGGCGAATCGGCCCGCGCAAACGGATAGCGTCTCCCGGCGAAGATTGCGGGTAATGCAACTTGTATTTCTGGCGCTGCAGCTTCCGCACAATTATCGGGCAACTCAAACAATCTTTTGGAATTCAAATGATCGAATATTTGTTTCACGTCCGTCATTACAGCGCCGTATATATCACGCATTATATGCTGAAAAAAAATGTAAATTTACAACTGTAATGGTGGATAAATTTCGGTGAAATTATTATAAATTTACATTTTCACACATATGTAAATTTATAGCTTGCAGGTCAAACTAATTACTAGTATTGTAATGAAGCAGATTGCATAGGTAAATTTGCATTCTATATATATATATATATATATATATATGCCGTATATTAAGAGCTCAAGTTATCTAAAGAACAGCTCTTAATTTTAGTTTCACGGCGCACCGACGATGAGCACATATCACACATATAACTGTAAACTTTGTTCTTTTTTATTCGGATTATAATTGATATTACTTTCTAACAATTATTTTTAGAAAATCGTTTTATAGGTTGTTTCGAGATAAATGATTTATATAATTGAATAAACGCAACATAAAGTAACATGTATAATATAGCTTGCGGTAAGTTCATTTCGCAAACTTTATTTTCTCAACGTCTCAACATGTGTTGTTAACCCGACTTTCTGACCTCGTGCACTGTTTAATCTCGACGACAACCGAAACTACGGAACTTCTCGTCCCTTCGGCAATCCTCAGCATTAATTTTCCACGGAGTTAGGATACCCTTGTGTTATCTATTCTAAGAGACTAAGTACTATACTTTGAGGACAAATCACCATGGTGTACTACTATTTGTTTAAATATAATCAAAGCCATATAATAGGATCGTGTAATAAATATCAAGAAATATTTATATTAATAAGAATTAAAAAATTATGAAAATATAAAAACATAAAATTATCAAAATATTCATATTAAATCTTTAATAACTTCAATTAACAAACGATCTCTTTTGATTTGATTGCAGATAAGCCTGCTGGGCCTCGTCGTGAGTGACAACAGCACAATCGGCGATCACTCAATCACAGAGGACGCTTCAGAAATCACCAACAATGGCAACAATTACGCGACCGACGTCGTAGATCAGGTAAGACGACTTTCTTTTTGTACTTCACGCTCTTTATCGATGGCGATTATTTTACTCCGCGTGATGTATGCGGTCGTGGTTTCGAAATCGTTTGGAGGTAATCCCTTGCCTTTTATCGGATTGAAAACTTGGAGAATCACGGGTCGTGCGTCACACAGAAGCGGTGAAAAGGTCAAAACGGCTCGATCTCGCGATTCGAATGACATGTCTGCTCGTATATATAAGTGCCAACCGCATGTAGGGAACGTGAACCGCGACAATATATACGAAAGAGAGACAGAGAAAGCAAGAGAGAGAGGGAGAGAGAGAGCTGAGAAAAATGTCACCGAAAGCTCCGGGAAAAATAAACATCTTTATTCACGGCGGCCGCGGACGGAAATGGGTCGCAGAAATCGGACAACTGTGTTGTCGCGCGTCCGCAAAGCCGTGCACCATGCTTTTACCTTACCCTAGGTAACTCACCGAAGTTTTATGCGGTGCTTTCCAGTTCGCGAAGAATGTTTTAAGTTACCATCCTTTTGACGTCATTGAATCCTTCTGGAGTCTACGTTTTTTCTCGACTACGTTTAAGTATCGATTTTCATACGGAAGCCCAATGTGCTTCATGTTTTCGTTGCAAACCAACTGCTTATTATTATGCACAATGTAACATTGGGGTTATATGTGAACGACTATGGCGAATACGTGGAAGACTTTTGGGGGCAAAATTTATTATTACGACTTACCGTTGCGGTCAAACGTCGCGTTCTTCAGAATTTAACGCTCCATATAGCACCAAAAATTTCTTCCGGCGAGTTTAATCCTTTCCGTAGAAATGTCTTAGAGTTGGTAATCTCTTCCTGTCAGCGCCAGCGATAATAATTAACATTTGTAATTATTTAACAAGAAAATTATTTTCTTATGAAATTAAAAACATTAAGGAAAATACCATTTTCTAAAGATTTTTACGTTTGCTTTAAAATTTTAAAATTTCTGGATGTAATTCTCTATATACAGAAGAGAGAATAAAAATTTTTGATTTTTTTATATTTAAGTATATAGGAACATATAAAGCGAGCAGGTTATGTTTCTTTGAAATTACGAAAAAGATTTATGCAATGGAGGATTAACAAAGTTAGAACATTACCTTGATAGAAAGTCAGAGAAATCATAAAATTTTTGTAGAGTTCTCATTTGGCGAACTTTGTGCGCTAGAGATTTAACTGTTTCACTATTAAAAAGAGTAATAAATTTACCGCAGAACAATGTTCCGACTGTATTTTAATCCCGAGTAATTTCTGTTGTCATTTCATACATTAAGACGTACACATTATCCGAATATGTTGAGAGTGTAATGAAAGTCAAGTACTTAAAATTAAAGTTGAGAAATTGCTTTGGACCAATTTCATTACGTCCCTTGATAGTAGGATGATTAATATGAGACATGCTTTACCGGTGTGCTAGACTCTTCAATTAGCTCCGACCGCATGTGACTCTTATGATGGGTCGCTTGCCGCGGGTTCCGGACTGCGTAATAGTTAAACAGGGTTTCGTCCACGTATCCAGTTGGACGGCACTTTTCCAACATACGCGCAAATTAGCTCGAAAAGTACATCGCAGTCGTTCAATTTCCGCTTTCGCATTTGTGCTTTTATTGACGCTCCCAGCGCTGTGGTGATCTGATAAAATATTTGTTATAAAATAGATGTCAAACAAATGAGAAATACTAAACTGTCAATTAAAAAATGTCAACTGAAAAAATTGTTTAAATATATTTGTTTAATATAAACATTTAATCTCTGCGTAATAGGTTTTTTGTGTGATATTTAATTTAATAGTTAAATAGGATTTCGTCCAATGTATCCAGTTGTCATGATAAATCTAAAATACTGATTTGGAATGAAACGACAGCTTTTAATCTACATAATGTATTAAATGTGATGTACTTAATATTTAGCGGTTCAAGATCAGGTCATTGCGGTTAAAACTTTTAATGCTACCGCGGTCTTGTTTCTCGCGGCGAAATAAGATTTTATATTTCTTAAGTGGCTCTGGAGAGTGGAAAAGTGAACATTATCGGCGCACTTCTTGGCGGTAACGCACAGTGAGGATAGCGCGGCGCGTAGGATCAAGCTATATGTAATGCTCCTTTTTGGTTAGTATCCCGCCGGGTGGATATCCACAATCATAGACAATGTTAAAGCTGTACCTGCGAATGCACTCACGCCGTTTTCCAGCGTTAAATCATTTCTGCACGCGATTACGCGAGCACACGGACGCGCGTTACGGCTCCCCGGCTGTATGCGGGGCGCAGGCCGGCGCGAGTCTGCCGGAACTGCAAAGTATATGTAAATTGCCTGACGCACTTCGTAAATTCCGCTGTCTTGCGGAGTAATCGCAATCTCACGGAAAGCCGAAGGATAACGCGAAACAGGAAAGTATCTCGCTGAATCTCGTCACGGGCCGCGAACTAAAAGAAAAATATCTTTCACGTAGCTACACATCACCGTTACAGAAATGTGCTTACAAACTTTTACTTTAAAGTTAAAGAAGCGATTTCCAAGCGAGCTGTTATGCCATGCCTCGCAACGATTTTTTAATACTTCAAAGCTTTTTCTCGCGGCAAGAGAGAAGGTCCGAATAATATTCATTGCGTTCGAGTAACTTTATCATCAACGTTGTTATCGGGAAAAATTGCTTTTCGCGATCATTGATGATATCGCGCAATATCTTTGGCGTGATATTAAAACTTTAGCTCTTTTAGTGCGGAAAGGCGTGTGAGATGCAAAAGCTCGAGGCTTCTTTCTGCGATGAGATCCGACAATCTCAGAAAAGCCATCATAGTGTTACGCTTGAATGCTCATAGTAATGAGTGTATAAATAAACATGAATTTTCACAAGATTATATATGATTATATATCTCGACTGGATCGAGAAAGAGCAAAGACTTTTCTCAAAAATGCTTCGTGAACACAAAGTTTTCGGTGAGAATCAATTAAAGCTATACTGCAAAGTTTTTTTGTTTGAAAATACAACGGAAAATATAACAAAAAATTTCAGCATTCTGGGGTAAAATTTTTTTTTATTTTTTTTTTTTTACTTTCATAAAACAGCCTTTTATTCCTATGCGCTCTTGTCGCTGTAGCGACGCAGAGTGCAACTCTCTGAACGATTAAACGAACAAATTCTGCGCAGCTCATATTTCAAACCGAAAGGGGTTGCAGTCGTTGGAAGTCCGTAAAACACAGTCGTACGCTCAAAAAATATGTGACCAGTTTTACGGCACGACCGCTGCCACCACGGTGCCATTGGTGCGTACCTGAGATGCGACTTATTTCTATGCAGAGACCGACACTTTTATTCCGGATGTCATTCTACTTCCGACAACCGGAAACCGTCAGTCAGCGTGTAAAGCTTGCGAAACTGCCAGGGCTTCTTGTTTCCGCGACTTTTTCTCATTTCTGTCCAAAGACAGAGCACGAAGGGTTAAATGGGCTGAGAGCTACTGATAGCGCACGTAGAACAATATCGATTTTCTTCGTTTTGTGATACGTTATTTTTTCTCATTGCATTTTACGGTTTTACAAATTTGGAAGATGATTAAACAAAGTAATAGCATGTTTGAATGAAAAGAGTTTTATAAGAATCATTTTCTCGCATCAAAATGTATCTGGCGAAATTGAGTAGGCTATTTTTTAGGATGTATAATTATGTTCAGACGCTTTTATAAAAGTCCCATTTCGACGGAAATGTTATATAAATGATGGATGATGGATGACGATGATAAATGATTCGATCATATTTAGAACTACATATTTAGAAGAAAACGCTTTCTGTTGCCGGTAAAAATGATATCCGTTCAAGCTTTCATATATTTCTTTTTACACAAAACATTTTTATCAAGCAGAGTCAATTTGACTAATATTCTCGAATATTCTACGATTAACGATAGCTCTTTGATACTTTTGAAATATTCGCGATAGCCGAAGCTACACCAGATAGGGAAAATAGAGTCATATTCCGTACAGAAAATTGTACGCGATGTGTATTGTATATTTTCTTGGGATATTCCACTGTTTCTCAGTGATTGCATCGCAGTAGCGAACGTAAAACTAACTTTGCGAATGCTGCGCCGTGGATTTCGCATATAGGGCGGATTTGAGAGAGGCGAATTAGGATGTCGCGGCAGTATCGAAATATCGTTTGTCTTCGACGTACGTGTGTTTTCAGGAGTTTCTCCGCTACCTTGCGAATACCAGATAAGATGTGTGCGTCACGAAGTTTTGCCGAGCGCAGAAAATTTGGCGAAACAGACCTTCGGCGATTTTCGCGAAATGTAGCTCGCAAGATTGCGGGTGCCAATAAACTGAGTTACCTCGCGGAAAGAATAATATTGTAACATGGATTGGAAGTGCATTTATGTGACTGATTAGTACAGCGAAATTGATTAATCCATTTAGTTTATTTAAATTGTTATATTACACATTGAAATTGATTCTGCGTTTTAATTAAAAAAAATAATTAAAGTTTTATCATGCGCCGATTAATTCGCGCGAATACAAAAAATAACATTTATATGTTTGGGCGAAAATAGCGACTATCTAAGAAATATTTCTCGTCTCTTAAGGCGTACGAAGTTCATTCTACGCTTGGTAGACAACGCTATCCAGTCCGTACCCGAAACCCGTGCCAACCCTTTATCTTCTAAGGAGTATAGTCGAGCTTTTATAAGAAAACGCGGTCGGATAACCCGCGGAACGTGCCCGCCCGCATATACGAGCGTCGACCTACAGACTTTATGAATTCCTTTTTACATATAGCTTGGAATGTAGCAGTTCCAAGAACATATATGCAATCTGAACCGAGAAACATTAAATTTTTTATAGAATATACTTTTAAACGAAAAATTAATCGGTATGTGTATATTTTTTATACAGCTGTATTTTCGGGAGTAATTAAAAATGGTAAATTGAAAATAGATTGCAACTCGCGAATTTGCAGCCAGTTTGCAAGATAAACAA